ACCAGAGAACGCCTCAGATGAAGAACTTCTTCAGCAAGGTGGCTGGATACAAGAATAATTAAAAAAAAATCAGTAGCTCTTCTGTGTACAAAAGACAAATGGGCTGAGAAATAATTCAGGGAATAGTAGCTACACAAGGAGAGCAAAAAAAAAAAAAAATCTGGGCACAGGGATCTTTTCTGAGACTGATACTCCAACCAAGGACCATTCATGGAGAAAACCTAGAACCCCTGCGCAGATATAACCCAGGGCAGCTCAGTGTCTAAGTGGGTTCCCTAGTAATTGGAACAGGGACTGTCTCTGACATGAACATGTCTCAGTGGCCTCCTCTTTGATCACCTCCCCCTGGGGGGGGGGTGCAGCCTTACCAGGCCACAGAAGAAGACCTGCTTGGATCCTATTTTAAGCCATAAGTACCAATTGCCACAGACACTTAGGGTATTTCCATGCATTTTAACCTGAATTGCATCAGTTACTGTTAGCTTGAGGGGGACTATCTGTAAATATACATAGTGGTGGAATTTGTAACAAATACTTTTTTCATAAAGAAAGTTTGAATTTCACATATCTGATATTCTTGTCTCATGACAAATTTTGTCTTTTTATACTTAGTACTTCATAAAATATAACATGGAATGTGCAATACTACTTATTTCAAACGAGAACCTGAAGATTTTATAATTATTGCCTCTTTTGATGGCATCCTATAGTTAACACTTTTCACCTAGCAAGTTAAAATAAACCACTAAAATCAGGTAACTAGAAGGACTGCTATGTGTGTGGTCAAACAAGAAAATAGAAGTTTGGTTGACTAAAAATTCTCAAGCACACCTGCTGTGTCAGTCCTTTTAGAGATAATAGTGAATTGGTAAATAGTAAAACTGAGTAACATGTTGGCTTTGTCTTATTCATGGGACACTAATGCCACCTTTCACCAAAGTGTCTTTTTATATATCAGGAACTTTATCCCAGGGATTTTTATCAGACCCAAACACACAAAAATCATCTGCAGTGAGTAATAGCACAATCCTCATGTGATATACAAGGAAACTGAAAGCTAGAGACTGAAAGGGCTTGCTAAGAGTTACAGCACACAAAGTGGAAGCATCAGGATTCAGATTCAGATTTGACTCCAAAGTCTTAATTATCACCTCCCAACATCATTTTATGATTAAGGTTTCTTTTGCCCTCAGTTACTTCAAATACAAAAGCAGGATATTTTTGTCTGTTAAGATTTTCTCCAGTCTTTCATTTTCACCATTTTTAGTCATTTAAAAATGCTCTTAATTCTTTAAGAAATTCACACAATGTATTTTGATCACATCCACCTGATACTCCTTCAACTACTCCAAGATCCACCCATACCTCTTCAGTCTTTCCTAAGTTCATATCCTTTTTTTTCCCATTAATAATCTATCAGTTGCCATTTGTATTGTCTATATGTTCATGTGAGTGAGCCATCTGCCTGAGTGTGGCTGGCCTACCAAGAGCCATACCCTTAGAAATCTGTCTTTCTTTCCCCTGAAGCTATCAACTTTCAATAGCTCCTCAGTTAGACCTCCTAGGCCTCCTAATAAGCACGTTCCTTGCCCATACTAAACTTGCTAGATCCTGTGTAGACACCTACAGCTACTAGAATTAATGAGTGCAATTCTTTAAAATAGTAATTTACACTTCATTTTCTTTGGTCTTCTATTACAAATGATTTGAGATACAGTTCTGAACAAATGTTTTGCCATTATTTTTCTTTCAGTATGTTCTTTCATCATTTCATCTTTATGTGTATGTGTGTCCTTTGGCTCTTGTTACTACAGCTTAATACTACAATTGACTACCAAGAAAGGGAAGGCATCAAGATGGCTGTGCCCAGCAAGCACAGTTTCTTATCACAGTGTCTAGGTAGCTGTAGCTCATTAACTTCAGAACAAGAAAGCCTGTGGAAGGGCAGCTGTCTCCGAAATTTCCCCTGGTGAGAGGAGTGACCCTAGGCTCCTGGGGAGTCTAGTTAGTCCACATGATCAAACATCTAAGGAGAGCCACTGCAATTCCATGGAACCAGCTGCCAGTCAGACCATAACCAACACTCTGAAGAGAGTTCATGTGGTAACATCCAGTTTCCTGCCCAGATTTTCCATGAACTGTATCCCACCTACCACCAGGACTACAGCAGGCAGCAGAAACTACTAGCTAATGCCATAGACAACCAGATGGTAAAGGCCAGCATAAAAACAAAGTCAATGAAAGCCAACGGATTATGGCATCTCAAGAACCCATTTATCCAAAGGCAAGCAGCCTTGGATACCTTAACACAACTGAAACTCAAGAAGATGACCTTAATTCTATACTTACGAGGATGGTAATGGAGGAAATTAATGAAATCTATAAAGATCTACAGGAAGATACAGTCAAACAGAGAGGAAGTCAGTCATTGAAAGAAATAGAACATTTCAATCCGGACATTACATCGTATGTTTATTCTATGTACGAACTTTTTTTTAAGTTTGTTTAAACATGCCATTTGTTCTCTGTATGGTAAACAAAACAACCAGCCAATGCTGAGCAATGGTTTTTTAATTGGATTATTTGGTTTGTTGGTAAAACAATTATGGGAATTGGAAGTGCTAGATAACAGGCTAGCTGTATTTAATGTCTTGGTAGGTAATGACAATCTATCCCTCATATAAAAAGGTATTACCAAGTTAGATACTGATGTGTGACAAGTTTTTCTCTTCATACTCACCATACTTATTACTATTATTCTAATAAACTCTGCAAAGTCTAGCCCCAGGCTGGTATACTGGTATAGTTCAACTACTGAGAGGGAGATTTTTTATTATTATTATTATTGGCTTAAAATGGTTAAATTTCCAAAACACATTTTATTCCTTGAAAATCTCGTAGATTTAAAGAATGCATTTTATTCATCTACTAGTACAGCCCTACTGGAACATGGTCCAGGAACGAAATCGTGTGAGGAAAATTCTGAGTGCTTATGAGAAGAAAAATGAACAGTTTTGAGAGCTCAGTTTCTTCAAATCATGGAATTTTTCCTAGACTGGTCTCATATCTTCCCTGGTGTATCAGACAGGAATTAGTTTCAGATTACTTCTCATTGCTCACTGCTGTTAATCAATTTAATGTTTAAACCATCCTTTATATGCCTTTATGGAAAGACATGTTTTTGCCACATGTGGCTTATCCTTGTGATTTTATACAACTTGAGCTCATGAGAACTTTAGTCATGATTTCTCTTAACCCTCAAGAGTTTAAATTGTCTGATACTCTGAATACAGTTGGTAAATGAGGCTTTAGTCTACTTTATTTATCAACTCCATTCTTCCAGTTTCCACCACCTCTAGACTGGTGACACTTCTCTCCAACTCACTAGTTTCCAATCAATCTTGTGCCCATCTTTCTGTCATACCCTCTTCTTAAATTCAACAACACTGTGTTCAATTAGTGCTGCCCCTCCAGTCATGCATGTGAGTCAAAACTTTTAAAGTGTTATTGGCACATCAATAAAAATGCTAAAGTAGTCAACTTATCCTTACTCCTACTATGAGGCAGACTATCATGGGATGTCAAGACCCAAATGATACATCTAAAACACAACTTCTATACATAAGGCACAGAGAAACTTATAGATGAGGTGGATCAGAACAGTTGCTGTTGGATAGTGTTTCCTTGATATGATAGGAATGCTGCACTGATGAAATCTCAACTATATAGTTGCTAAACAAGATCTACATAATGACACCATCAGCTGACACAGTAATTTTTAGGGCAAGGACTTCTCAATGATGTCTACAGCAAAATAGCACTAGTGGCAAGAACATAACCTTCAAAATGTGACTTGGGATGCCAAGTGTTAAACTGCACGGTGTTTTACACAGCTATCATTAAACACAATTCAAGCACCTTTTTAAAGACTATGAATACTCGAGGAGCTGCAAGGTGCTTGAAGGATAATACAGCTAATTGCTTAAAAATTCAATTAACCTTAGCATTTGGAAACCTGATTTAGTAATAATCTCACAGATAAATTGCCCGTTTTTTCAGGAGTTCCGGTTAGCTTTTGAATATGTTCTATTTGAGGAACTTCATGAACTACTTGGCGTTGACAAAAATATCACTATTCTCTGATTATTTCATTCAAGAAAAAACATAATTTAATGAGTTATTTCTGCATAAAAAGAATAGAAGCAATCATTTTCCTGCTGCAAATAAATGGTTAAGAGACTGAAACACCTATGAGAAACACATTTCCCGTGCTTATCACCAAACAGAAAAAATTATTTTGGTTTCTCTTCCTGCAAAAGTTGAAAGCAGGTTGTAGGTGATCAATGAATGTATCATAAAGTCATAGATTCTGTTTTATAGCCTTCATACTATTAATCTCAGGATAAACTACCATCTGCATTTACTTGATAATGACATTAATGTTGGAATCTAGAACATTTTGCTGAATAAATCAAAGCCATGCAAAATTTGATAGCTTCTCATAAAAAATTTACCACAGTAGGTAGGTAGATGCCTGGAAATTAAACAAAATACACAGCTGACAACTATTTAAATAACAGTAGAAGAGCAGAAAACTAAGTTAGATCCAAGACAATCTTTCTGTTCTTGGCATTTATATATTTTAAAGTGGTGTTTGGGATTAGAATTTGACACTACTCAATACACAGTAATTTAAGTCAGTCTTCTATTAAAGAATACTTATGAAGTGACAATCAGTACATATGGATATACAGAACTGCCTACAAGTTAAGAAAACCTATGACGAGTGGAAGTACTAGATAGTAGGCTAGCTACAACTTAACATTCCAGAAGGTACGCTGTAAGCAAAGTCTCTACCATTGAGCTACATTTCTAGCCCTACACAAAAAATCCAAATATGTAAAAATAGGCCACGACAGTGGAAAGGCATTGAAAAGTCTTTATTTCCTCTAAAAATTCCCCATTACAGTGTGCAAATTATTATATATTCATGCTTTTAAAAATACATATAAGAAATTTTACTGAGCAAAAGACAAATTATTCAATACCAGTAGCAGTAAATAAGTAATTTGCAAGAAAACAGTTTTAATTCTTTAAATGACTGATATTATTTAGGAACTAGATAACAATATTTAAAGCAGACAAATCTAAAAACATTCTTGCCAGATATTAATAACAACATTATAATTGTGGATATTATTTTAGAAACTTCCACTATACTAGAAGTTACCTATGATAGTAGCAATTTTACTACAGAAAAGTAAATAGAAATTGACATCTATTACATATGTTTTCTTGGGCAAGCATACCAACTGGAAAAAATATACAAAAGCAATACAGAGTTATTGGATCTTATCACTTAAATTAATGATACAATTTATTTGGTTATTAAGAAACAGCCATGCATATTTAAGTACTTTGAACAAACAAGTAAAAATTTTGATAACAGCAACATCAAAATTTGAAATTACTGAAATATTAGAATTATATAAAACATCAATTTTATTCATACAACTTTAGACTGACATTTCTACAACATTACCTGAAGGTTTGTTGTTGGTGTTGTTTTGAACTTAAAATAGTAAAAACAAGTATTAAGCAGTAATTAAGAAGTAATTAAGAAAATAAAAGAAAAACGTCTTTTTAATGTTCAGTATTATACTCTGAGGCAACAAGAAATAGGTAGAATTGTCTATAATTTTTAAAGACAGATTTGTGGCATTAAAGTCATATTAATCATAGTCAGGAACTTTAAGCATTTCAACAACATGTTTATTTCATGACCTAGAAGAGAGATTTTTCTGATTGCATCAAGAGGATGAAAGAAGACACAGAATGAAGTGGGCCATAAAACCAAAAATCTTTCTGTATTACTCTACAATTTACACAGTTGCAGTTTTCAAAGTTCTCTAGTTATTAGAAGCCTATCTAGCCTAATTTTCTCCTTAGATAAATATGCATGCTGCATTTAGAAGGCCTTAACTCTAAGATTATTAACAAAGTATAACTTCTTTATTGGTGCAACATAACTGATTGTATTCCACCTTAACATCCTCATCTGAGAGAAATGTTCATATTGCTGGTATGGAGAGGCAGGACCAATTCCTGGTACATTACAGTTGCATACTTGGCATTTAGTGCATGCCCTAATTGGGCTTCAGTAAACAACAGCTGACTTAAGAACTGAAGCTTTGTGGCAAAGTAGGTTATTATGTGATTCTGTCCCTGATATGTGTGGCATTATAAAAGGGAAAGGGTACTACAAAGAAGGAAAGGGCTGTACAATGGGAGGTGGAAGCAGCCTGAGAGGAACAGCTGGCAACTCTGAGAAGTTTTTTCTTTTTTCTCAATTCAACTCAATCTGGAGGGGTCAGCATTTCTCAAGAATATGTGCTGGGAGCTTCCTTTAAGATCCTTTCTGACACCAGAAGACATATATGGTATACTCTCACTTAAAGGCAGATATTAGCCTTACTAAAATCTACAGACCTAAAAATACTAAACAACAAGGAGGACCCTAGAGAGAATGTTTTTAAATCTCATTCAGAATGGCAAACAGGATAGACAGAAGTGGTGGAAGAGAGGGAACAGGATGGGAGCCTACTATAGAGGGTCCTCTGAAAGGCTCCACCCAAAAGGGGATCAAAGCAGATGCTGAGATTCACAGCCAAACTTTGTACAGAGCACAGTCTTATGGAAGAAGGGGAGGACAAAAGGACACGAAAGGGTCAGGAGCCTCACAAGGAGACCAAAAAAACTAAAAAATCTGAACTCAGGGGGTCTTGCAGAGGCTGATGCAACAACAAAGGACCATGCATGAGAGGATCTAAACCCCTTGCTTAGAGGTAGCCTACAGGCAGCTCAGTCTCCAAGTGGGTTCCCTAGCAAGGGGAGCAGGGGATGCCTCTTGTTATGCCTACTCTTTGATCACTTGTCCCTTGCGATGTGGCCTTGCCAGTCCACAGAGATAGGGGATCTAGGCAGTACTGATGAGACTTAATAAGCTATGGGCAGATGGCAGAGAAGAACTCCCCTTCCTGTGGAACTATGGGAAAGGGATGGGGGGCCGAGTATGGGAGGATGAGACTGGGAGGAATTGAGGGAGGGGGCTTCAATCAGGATACATAATGAATAAATTGTAATATATATATATAATTTAAAAAAAGGAAAAAAGAAAAGATCCTCTCTGAACCCTAGCCAGGTCAGTTCTCTAGGTGCACATGGGGAACTCTGTGAATTTCACTAGATCCTTGGCTCCCTGACAGGAAGCACTGGGTTTATTTATTATTTATTTACAGGCAGTTCTAGGTCTAAACTATTGCTCAAAGAAAGTAGACTATTAGAGTCTAGATATTTACATGCAGGCCTTGCAAATAGGTTTGCTGCCAATGTAGAGCCCTCATCTTTCCATGTAAAGTGTGTGTTGCAATTTATTAATTGTCAAACTTTGTTCAGTTCTTGATGGTTTCAGAGTTAGTTGCCAGAAGAATATGAATTTATATAGTATTCCTAAAACTTCAAAACCTACCATTCCACCAATTATTAATGAGTTTAGGAAACAGACTTGCATTAAACATTGACTGCAATAAATATGACACTGAGATCATAAGGCTGGTTTGATATTTATTCACAGATCAATCAGAAAGTTCCTAAACAGTATTTTTCCAGAAGAACCATTCTTGTCTTCATAACAACTCTGATATAGCAGGCATAGTATTCTACGTTGTATCTGGAGAAACTGAAGATAAGAAGTTAAGCAATGCCTAGGATTTTGAGTAGAATAGCCATGATCAAATTTATTCTGTGGACAAGGAGTTAGTGCTTCAGTTACTTGACTTAATAGAATGATGAAGGACCACTGTTCTTATCCAAATGTTTGTTTCTATTCTTCCATTTCTTCATCTTTGAACTTTAGCCAGTGTGTACATGATTTCCATCCTAATCACTAATTACTAAGAAATTATGACTAGCAAAATATCTAAACACCTTAGTATTAACATTTTTCAGTTAACACAGAAAATAAAACCAACCTTTACTCCAAATATAGGCCCCTGGCCAGATCATGGCAGTTTACCTTTACTCCACTGTATTTACATATACTTTTATCTGTAATATCATACCCAGAATGAAAATATAATTCAAATAACCAAAATAAGGATATGGGCTGACCCTCCAGATGTGGCTTTCAACCAAAACGATCCCAAGTGTCAAATAAATTTATATGAACACCACATAATTATTAACAATGCATAGGATCTCTTTCAGATCAAACTACATTTCTGGAAATCAGTCCATTAATATTTTTCACCTGCTAATCTCACAGGTTTGGTATCTTAAACAAGCTAGTCAATGTGCTTTATAAGTGTTTTATGTTCCTAGAAATGCCTTCTTTGAAGAAAATTTCTTTTTTGATTTCTAGCACTTGTTTCTTCCTGTAATTTTACCTTATCAATTGGTTGTTGCTTTTTAAAAGATTTCAAATATTTCATCTATCAAGAAGACTTTGAAGCCATGAGGAATTTCCAAAGTAGGATATTAATTCTGACGCATACCCACTACTCAGAGGGCTCCTCTGGGTTTCTCAGGTCTATAGCTTCCTTGGGAGTCTCTGAGTTGGCTTCTGGTATGGCACTGCATTCTGAAGCTTCTTGCTGTGAGCTATCTCCGTCAAGGACAATATCTTCAGGATTAGGTGGGGCAGGACAGAAGTCTTCATTTGGGCAGATTTGCTGGAAAACTGTTTCAGCCTAGCCAAAGATGAAAGGATAAATTAACTTTGGCCATCAGCTTGAATGTATGTGCATTTGTGGTACTACATAAAAAACAGTATCCTTAAATTCATGTAATAAGGTTTCAACCATTACATGTTGCTGAGTTTAGCAGCACACGGTAAGAGAATAAAAAAAAAGCGAACATGATTTTTTTCCTATTATTAAACTTTTTTAAAATTTTTTATTAATTACACTTTATTCATTTTGTATCCCCCATAAGCCCCTCCCTCCTCCCCTCCCGATCCCACCCTCCCTCCCCTTTCTGCATGCATGCGAACATGATTTTAATAATAAACAAATACTCAGTAAATATCCCAAGTGGAAATAATCCACTATATGAGGGAATCCATTATAATCCACTGCAAGGTGTTAAAGAACATAATCGTTTCCTATACTGCTTCTACTTTTGTCATAATGCACATAACAAGGTCATCTATTTTGCTTTTGTAAATAAAGGTTTATTGAAACACAGTTCACATTAGCTTATCTACTATCCATAGCTGCCTTTTCTCTTTAATGGCAGAGCTGAGGAGCTGCAATAACAAGTAAACAGGTTATTTAAGCTAAAATATTCACCATCTGGACATCTTCATCAGTTGAGTAAAGATAATATTCCTTAGAGTTTGGTGGAAGTGTCGTAAAGGAACTTTGAAACTTTAAAGTTGCTTTGAATTTTTATTGTGTCTGTGTATGGTGTGTGTGTACAAGTGCCACAGCACAAATGTAGAGGTCAGAAGAAAACTTTCAGGAGTTGGTTCTCTCCTCCTAACATGGCTTTGAACTCAGGTAATCAGGCTTTCATGTAAGTACTTTTACTCACAGAACCATTTCTTTGCATTTACTACTGATTTGAAAGCAGTTTGTTTTTTAGGTATGCTTTAAGCATATATATTATATATACATATATATCTCAACAAAACATTCACTGTGTATATACTTGTAAGGAAATCATGAAATTTGCAGGCAAATGGTGGGAACTAGAAAAGATCATCCTGAGTGAGGTAACCCAGAAGCAGAAAGTGAGTATATACACATGGTATATACTCACTTATAAGTGGATATTAGATATATAATATAGGATAATCATACTGAAATGTATACTCCTAAAGAAGCTAAACAAAAAGGAGCAACCTAGGGAAGATGATTAATCCTCATTCAGAGGGGCAAGCAGGATAGACATTGGAAGTAGGAAAACACAAGAACAGGACACAAACCTTCCACATAGGACTTCTGAAAGATTCTACCCACCAGGGTATAGAAGGAGATACTGAGACTCATAGCCAAACTTTGGGAAGAGTGCTGGAATCTTTATGGAAGAAGAGGGAGACAGAAAGATCTGGAGGGGACAGGAACTCCACAAGAACAACAGAGCCAAAATACTTGGGCTCAGGGGGTCTGCAGAGACCGATACTCCAATAAAAGACCAAGCATGGAGAAGACCTAGACCCACTGTTGAAAGGAAGCCAAATGGCTACTCAAGTTCCAAGTGGGTTTCCTAGTAAGGGTACAGGGACTGTCTCTGACATGAACTTAGTGGCTAGCTCTTTGACCAACTCCCCCTGGGGGGATACAGCCTTGCCAGGCCACAGAGGAATATAATGCAGCCAGTCCTGATGAGACCTGATAAGCTATGGTCAGATAGAAGGGGAGGAAGACCTCCCGTATCAGGGTACTAGGGAAAAGGGCATAGTGGGAGAAAAGGGACGGTGGGTGGGACTGAGAGGAGATGAGGAAAGGGGCTGCAGCAGGGATACAAAGTGGATAAATTGTAATAAATATATAAATAAAAATAAAATTTAAAAATTAAAACAATTTAGTTGAACATATATGTATATGTGTACAGTAGCATCCTGACGTCATAGTACAATGATTTCCAAAATCAAATGAATTAAAAAATACTTTCATTTGGACTTGGAAAGTACATTAAACAAGCAGACTCAAACTCAGAGTGACAAAAATCAAAATTTCTTTTGAAAATGCCAAAATGATACCACATACTTTTTATGCTACTTAAAAAGAAAAGCCTTCACAGCTACCAGTTTGGATATTTGTCGTGAAGACACTTAACATCTAGTTTCTTATAAAATCTCAACAAACAAGAAACCAATCGTCTTATCTATGATAACATTACCTAAAGGACACTAAATGATAAATGAAATATGCTAGGCAAAAGAAGATTAATATTGCATGATGTTACACATATGGGTAGTACATGTAAATCATAGAAACAACGTAAGTATAAAATTAAGACAATAACAAAATAATTATCAGATGATATAAACTTTTACTGACAATATGACTAACAACTGTGAATCAAATGTGCAGCTGACTATGAATATCTGTAATTAAATACCAGTGATGCTTGTTTTGCTCTTCACCTTAGGAATTCACCACAGGTCTCTGCTAGAGATAGCTGGCTCCTATGGCGGAGGCCCAAAGGCTTACATCAAGGTCTCTACTACTGCATATCTCAGTTGTCTCTGATGGCCTTTTTGTCCTGTATTTCTATTTTTTCTACTTTGCTCTATATACGTAGCTGCCAAATCATGGTCATGTCCCTTTCTACTTCTTAATCTCTATTAATTTTCCCACTGACAAAGTTTCAGCATGCACCCCCTGTCAAAGAGACTACTGCAACATTTTCTAAACCGAAGTATTCTTTTTGCCTTAAGGACCTTGCCTCATACCATAATCCATCTCTAGGCTACTCTCAATGGGGCTTATGGAAAACAAAACTCACTTTATGCTACTTCCTAGCTTAAAAACACCCCATTACTGACAAAAGAAAATCTACAGTCCTAACTAGTATATTATAAAATCCTTCAGGTTTAACTTTTTTGGTCTTACCTAGCGTGATTTCTTTTAAACTCAAGTTCTCCTATGTTTTGCTTCACTAAGGATTGGTTATTTGGACCTCCTTAAATGAAAAGTTTATATCCTGTGCAGGTAAAAATATTATGCTCTCTCCAAGTACTCTTTGTCTTTGAATTGAATCTGGCATTCTCCTCATCTATCAGATGCCACCATATAAGCCGTTCTTTACCATCATATATACTTGAACTTATAGCTTCTAAAGACCAGAACAGGCAGTGTTATCAGTATGTACATCACCTGTGCATCTTAAAATCATAAGCTGTCACATATTCAGACAAAAAATTCAAATCTTCATATCCAACCTCTATGCACTAACAAGGAAAACTGAAAAATCTCAAAGTGTTAAAATGTAGACTTATTTGAAAAAGAAAAATATTACAACTCTAAGGGGGCTATGTTTTCTATACAAACAAAACCATAATATTCTGAGAGCTTTCAAGAATAAAATCCTTATTTAGAAAGCAAAAGTTATCAACAAATGATTGAAATAACCACATGACGATGATATACTGGAATTAGCTCAATTTATCTGAAAAAATTGGGAACTTATAAATATTGCAGATGTTCATTTGAGATGGCATATTTTTCCTCAAGTGGATATATGATGTAACATGAAGATGATCACACTAATGAACATTAATGTTATTTTGTCATTATATTTTATGTAACTTATGAAAGCTATTCTTTTTTTGTGAAACCAACATCAAACTAAACAGAGCAAAACTGAAAACAATCACACTGAAATTAGGGACAAGGGACATTCTCTCCACATCTCTTCAACATAGTACATGAAGTCCTAGCAGGAGCAATAAGACAACTAAAGGAGATCAAAGGAATACAAATCGAAGATGATATGATAATATACATGAGTGGCCCCCAAATTTCTACCAGAGAATGCATGCAGCTGATAAAAAAAAACAAAAACAAACAAACAAAAAAACTTCAGCAAAGTGGGTGGACACAAAATTAACTGAAAAAAATCAGAAACCCCCCTATAGACAAAAGACAAATGAGCTGAGAAAGAATTTAGGGAAACAACACGCTTCATAACAGTTACAAATAATATAAAGCACCTTGGTGTGACTCTAACCAAGCAAGTTGAAAGACCTGTATAAAAACAAACAAACACTTCAAGTCTATGAAGAAAGAAACTGAAGAAGAATCAGAAAATGGAAAGATCTTCCTTTCATGCTATGAATCAGAAGAATTAACATAGTGATAATAGCCATCCAATCAAAAGCAATATACTGATTCAATGCAGTTCCCATCAAAATACCAGCACAATTCTTTACAGACCTTGAAAGAAAAATTCTCCATTTCATATGGAAAAACAAAAAACCCAGAATTGCTTAAACAATACTGTACAATAAAAGATATTCTGGAGGTCTCATGCAGAGCTAAACAGGGAATTCTCAATAGAGGAATATGGAATGACAGAGAAACACTTAAAGAAATGCTCAAGGTCCTTCATCATCAGGGAAATTCAAATCAAAATGACCCTGAGATTTCACCTTATACTCATCAGAACAGCTATGATCAAAAACTGAAGTGAGAACACATGCTGGAGAGGATGTGGAGAAAGGGGAACACTCTTGCATTGCTGGTGGGAATGTCAATGTGTACAACCACTTTGGAAGTCAATCTGGCACTTTCTCAGAAAATTAGGAATAGTGCTACCTCAAGATCCAGCTATACTACTCCTGGGCATATACCCAAAAAATACCTGAAAAATGCTCAACCATACAACAAGGACACTTGCCCAACTATGTTCATAGCAGCTTTATTCATAAGAGCCAGAATCTGGAAACAACCTAGATGTCTTTCAACTGAGGAATGGATATAGAAATTGTGGTACACTTAAATAATGGAATACTACTCAGCTATTAAATACAAGGAAATCTTGAAATTTTCAGATAAATACAGATGGAACCAGAAAAGATCATCTTGAATCCAGAAGCAGAAAGACACACATAGTTTGTACTTAATAATAAGTGGATGTTAGACATATAATATAGGATAAATATACTAAAATCTATACTCCTAAAGACTCTAAACAAGAAGGAAGACCCTAAGGAAGATGCTGAATACTCATTCAGAAGGGCAAAGGCGATAGAAATCGGAAGCCGGAGAAGTCAAGGAGCAGGATAGGAGCCTAGCACAGACAGTCTCTGAAATACTCTGCTGATCGGGGTATTGAAGCAGATGCTGAGACTCATGGCCAAATTCTGGGCAGACTGCAGGGAATCTTATGAAAGAAGGGGCAGATAGAAGACCTGGAAGGGACAGGTGCTACACAAGGAAACTAACAGGGTCAAAAATTCTGCGCTCACTGTACCCTGCAGAGACAGATACTCCAACTATGCATGGAGAGGACCTAAAACCCCTACTCAGATGTAGCTCATAGACTCAGTCTACAAGTGGGTTCCCTAGTAATAGGAACAGTGACTTTCTCTGTCATAAACTCAATGGCCTGCTCTTTGATCACCTCCCCTGAGGGTGGGGTGCAGCCTTGCCAGGAAGACAATGCAGCCAGTCCTGATGAGACCTGATAGGTTAGGGTCTGATCTAAGGGGAGGAGGACCTCATCTATCAGTGGGCTAGAGTAGAGGCATAAGGGGGGAAGAGTGAGTGAGTGTGGGACTGGGAGGAGACAAAGGAGGGAGCTATACTAGGATATAAAATGAAAAAATTCTAGCAATAAATAAATAAATGAATAAATAAATAAATAAATAAATAAATAAAGAGAGGTAATATGTATATAAAAAGAATCTTCTGCTTAATGGATTCATAATGTAATTTGGGCCCCTAGAATAAGTATGTACTTCTTCACAGCTCTACCTAGGACTAGCCTACTTGGATTTTTTTTCTTTTTTCTTTTTATTATTAATTACACTTTATTCATTTTGTACCCCCCCATAAGCCCCTCCCTCCTCCCCTCCCGATCCTACCCTTCCTCCCCTTTCTGCATGCATGTCCCTCCCCAAGTCCACTGATACGGGAGGTCTTCCTCTCCTTCTTCTTAGAAACTATAATAGCAGCTTTGGGGGCACTGGCTTGAGTCAAAGCATGGATAGTATTAGGTTACTTATGTAAAATGAAATTATTTATCCATTTCCAAGATTAGAAATGCATCAGACCACTGTAGAATTGTATCTTACATACTTTTCTAGTTATTCCCGCTAGAAATGGCTCAGGTTGTTGGAGGGTAACATCTATATTTGCAGAATATGCACCAATAATCTGTTTATATTAGATGCAAAATGTGAGAATACTGACATTTAAAATTTTAAGAATGTATATTTCTAATTTCATTCTTTATTCGCACAGTACTACTCATAAACAAGCCTATACAATTCCTTGCATAATTCAAGGAGGCAAAGTATCTGATCATGTATATTTAAGGTAGCACTGTAGAAAATGTGTTTTGGAACCAACTGGTATTAAAGAGAAAGGAAGATGCTTTACAGGCAAAACCCTCTCACTTATCCCACTACATCAGGTTTTAATACAAAACTGAAGAATACCAATGGCTTACCTGTTTGACTGCATTATCATTTCCTAGACCACAGTCTGGGCCAGAAAACACATAGACATTGGATGGTAAATCATTGTAACAATCTCTGCTGATATCTGAAGAATCTCTCATATTGAAGTAGAGTGCCCATAGAATTCTTGGCTTTTCAACCTGTTCATTATCTAATAGTAGAAATAAATTTTATCACACTGAAAAACATAATTTACTATATTAGATGACCAAATACTAGAAATGCCATGAGACATTATAGTAAACAAGACATTTATATACACGTAATTAGTGAATGTGAAAACTACAAACTCTAAGGTAAGTACATGGTATTTCAAACACTGAAGACTTTTCAATCCAGGACAAGCTAGATTTAAAAAATTATTTTAAAAAAACTGGCAAGGTGGATCTGCAGGTTAAGATATTGGTTACAATGGTTACCATGCTACTTCTGGGACTCACATGATGGAAGGAGAGAAACAACTCAGTTTGTCCTCTGACCAAATTTGCAGTGTTTCATACACATACAAATAAATAATTAAATGAATGAACACAGCAAGATAGTTAAGTTCTTACAATTATACCCACCCTTAAATTATCTCTCCAAAGTGAAAAGATATCATAAATCATGTTTCACATAGAAAAACAACTTAATAAGTTAGTAACTTAATAGAACATACATTTAAGATGCTAATTATATTAAAATGACATTATTCAAAATAATCAGAAGCATAGTGAATATAAATAGAAATTATGGTTACTTAGAGGTCAGGAAGAGGGATTAGGGACAAAGGTCAGGTGGCTCTTTACAGATATGGAGTTTCTGTGTCAGAGGTCAGAAACAGAAAGGTTTTACAGCGTTTCTAGCATGTTTAGGCAATTCTTTGTTTAAAAACATGTAGTTTTTTACCTGAAATATGAAAATTTTATGGTATATGAATGATACTTCTAAAATATTACTTGAAATATATAGAGAATTTAAAATGATATGATCTAACTCTTACTTTTATACTTTATGCTACATTAATGGGAACCAAGAAACAAACAACAACAACAACAACAAAAACTGCCATAAAATGAGGCTAGTAGGTTGAATGTCATTTTGAGTACAAGTTCTCTCATTTAACAGCAGGCATTCATTATGCATGTTAGGCAATGTACGTACACACATGGAGTAGCTTTAGTTTTGATTCCCATTTTTAACTTTTTCCTCTAATACAGGGTCCAGCGCACATTCACTAAATAATTTATGAATTGATTTTAAGCTATTGTCAATAATCAAAATTAGAAAGTGTTTATAGAAAGGCCCAATCTTGTTAACTTTAATTCCTCTAGCCTATTTCTTATGATAGTGATGATCACCCTTTGCCTCACTTCTTTTAAAATGTTATACTTTCAATTTTCTTTGATTGAAGACAGAAATATTGCTGTCAATATATGCACTGATTATAATTTCCTCTAGCCCAACTCTGCCCAAAATTGAAATTCAGCATAATAATAAAAATGTTTATGACAGACAGTAGTCCAGTTCTGTGGGACACAGTGTGAATCATAAAGAAAATGCTAAAAGTCTAATTATACAATTACTATTCTTACTGAATTAGTAAACAATATAGAGCAACTTTTATCTAAATATGTCATTCAATTAATAAGGAGGCCCTAATCCCCAAGATAAATACATTTTATTTAATTTCAAATATTTCTACTGTAGGAAGAGGAAATATGATATTTTTTTAGTTTGTAGTAAACAATTCATAATTATTAGTGGAAAGGAATAATTGAGTGAAAGAAGTGATATTATAATGAGCTTTTAGTTAACATTTTTTCATAATTATTTATTTTATGGGGGTAGGTGTTGTGCATGTATATATGTCTGTGCACGAACTGCATGCATGGTGCCTGCAGATGCTAGAAGAGGGCATACAGTCTTCCAGGATCTGGAGTTATAGACAGTTGTGAGCTCTCATGTGGTACTGGCAAATGAAGCCAAATTTTTGGGAAGAGCTGACACTCTTAATTACGGAGCCCTCTCTCCAGCTACAAGGGTCTCTTTCTGATGCTAAGATTTGAGTCTGAGGTACCACTAATTCATCCAGGGACACAGTAAATGGTGAAAACTACTAAGTAACAAAACAATGCAAGAAACTGATGTTTTGCAGCTATAATCATGTGTTTTTTATTAAATTGACTAGTGAGTTAAACTTCACTAAACTGTGACAATTTACTTGAAAACAACAACTGTGAGTCATGCATCAAATATTGCAAGGAAATGCCACCTACATGCTATGGCATAAAACACTACAGCAGGGAAGTAAGCTAAGGTGTGGAAGGTCTTCAATGGGGGGCTAAGGTCATATCTAGGTGTATATTAGGTAAGCCTACCTGGTAGTTCATAAGTGCTCTATCTCAGAGGATAGCTCTTATTACATAAAAGATGGAAGAAATGAAAAGTCCAACAGATTTTAGGAAAGAGATTTCACAAAGGTTAGGTCTTTGACAAGAAACCATGTAGAGAGTGAAAATTGATATGGTCTGAAGATTAATGGTATGGATACAAGGAAGTGAGTCCCATTAAACTTTGACTTAGAACTTTCCAGAGACATGTAATTGCTTCATTTCTCTTGGAGGTCAACAGCAGAGAGATAAAAGAGAGATATGAGAGAAAGACAGAAAAAGAGACACACAGAGAGACAGGAAGACAGAGAACTCAAAAAATAATATGAACTCTGAAACAAATAATTGTCAAAATGATTAAAGTTGCTGAGCTCATTTCAGTTAGATGATATGACAGAGTAAGGAAGCAACAGGTGACACAAAGTAAGATTTTGTGTTAATTAAACTGAGTATGTGTCGAATAAAGCACGTAAAATAGAAGGCAAACCAAATAAAAAGAAGAAATGTCTATAAGCACATCCCACATGTAGGCAGCAAAAAAGCTAACATAGTTAAGTTGCTTCAAGTCCCTGAACAAATGAAAGTAAAAAAAGAAAACAAACATAAAACAAAACAAAACTGAAAGTGAAAAAAAATCCACCATGAACTCATAGCCAAACTTTGGGCAAAGTGCAGGGAATCTTATGAAAGAAGTGAGTAAGACCTGGAGAGGACACAGGCTCCACAAGGAGAACAAAAAAAACCCAAAAGTCTGGGCACAGGGGTCTTTTCTGAAACTGATTCTCCAACCAAGGACTACTCATGGAGATGGCCTAGAACCCCTGTACAGATGTAGCCCATGGCAGTTCAATGTCCAAGTGGGTTACATAGTAAGGGGAACAGGGACTGTCTCTGACATGAACTGATTGGCCTGCTCTTTGATCACCTCCCCCTGAGGGGGGATCAGCCTTATCAGGACATAGAAGAAGACAATACAGCTACTCCTGATGAGACCTGATAGACTAGGATCAGAGGGAAGGGGAGGAGGACCTCCCCTATCAGTGGACTGGAGGAGGGGCATAGATAGGAAAAAGGGAAGGAGGGTGGGATAGGGAGGGGAGGAGGGAGGTAGGTACAGGGGGGATACAAACTGTAATTACTAAAAATAAAAATAATTTAAAAAGGTATGACATTTGATTTCCTGATACAACCAATATTTACTACCCTCACCAGCCACCAAATGCACACTTTATCTACGAAGGAAATTTGTTTTTAGGAAAGCACTGCCCTTACAGAGAGAAAGGACTACAACAAACAAAATGAGGCAACTCCATCTACCAGGCAGAAAGGAGGGGAAAAAAGATGATATTGTGATAATATTACATTCCAGACATTTTAAAATACTGTACTAAAATATATTGTTTTACTCTGTATTGAAAAATCTTCTATTTCTGAATAAAATAAGAAATCAGAAAAGCTCTGCAAGTATGACACACAGACCAATCACTTTATCACCTCTCAGTATTTACAAGGATATTTTAGACTCTAAACAAGAAAATGAAGTGTAAGCAATCACCTCATTTTCCATTCTACAGAATGAGGCTTATTAAGCATAAAACATTTGATATTTCTTTAGGCTAAAAAATAGAGAAGGATTTAGAGATATTTGATGTGCTTAAAAGAGCCTGATGGGTGGTTAGGACGACAATTATTTCTTTCAAGAGGGCAGTTCTGAAAATCTCTGCCTGATTCCCATGAGCTGGAAAGGTAAGAAAGACAGGCACTGTCTTTCGAAGCATACTACAGTTCCCTATGTAGACTGCCAATCAGTCGTACAGTGGTAAATAGAATATCATCCTTTTCATAAAATCAACTTCCTTGTAAGGTGATTATTCTGATTTTCATAAAGGCTTACGACACATAACACCATGTGGAATGCAAAACTCAGCTGGGACAAAACAAGGCCATACAACATTATTCTGTTGCTACATGTTTCAGCAAAAATATTTACAATAATTTAAATCACAAAGTTTCAGGTGACTGTCAAATAATCAAAATATACTAAGAGCCTGTGAAAATACAAGCTTTTATTAGAGAAGGTCGTGCTTTATTGTATAAAGGTTCATGTTTCTTATAAAGTTCCTTCTTCTTCGTTGAGGCAGGAAAATGAATTGAGTCCCTTCTGCAGGTGACTTTGCCTCTTTGACCTGCCATGGCCCAGTGCTCACTTTATCAGGTGATTCATTTTCAATAACTCCCAACAGTATTCGTTCTGACATTTTAATTAAAATATGACCACCACCTCATCCTGATGATAAAAAGGTCTATGTGTCAGTGAAAACTAGCTTGGAAGTGCCTCGGTGCACCCGAAGACCACTCCGGCATACTTCTTGCTAAAGAATTTCACTCAGGTTCCAAACAATACATCATTTCAAACTAGGATCACTTTAACTATTAAGATTAATCAGAAAAATCTAAAATGGCTAGTGGATGTTAGTTAGGAACAAGTAATTTCTGCCAACTTGAATCTGTAAACCAGAAAATTAAAAGCATTTAAAAAGTAAAGAATAATGGAATGTTTATTGTATTGTTTGGGATAGTAACAAACTAAAATTATAACAGATACTATGAAAAATTTGAGAAATGAGAAAAATATTCATGCTTCTTTTGAGAAAGCTACAGATACAATTAAAGTCTAAAGATAAAACTATGAGTATATATGAGTTTGAAGAAAGTGATTACTATTTATTATAACTTTGCAGTCAAATTTTTAATAGAAACTCAAACATTTATATGATACTTTCAGATAAAAATGTAAATAAACAAACTAAATCTAAACCAAAGTGAAGTTTTTTAGATTGAAAGAATTAATTCACCTAGGATTTAAAAAAAGAAATTATATTTACATTAGCAGCTAAAAATGGAAAACTTTGTCTTATAAAAAATGTTTATGTCCTACTCTGTATCATCTCTGCATTAAGAAAGTAAACAACACACAAAAGATTAAAATAAACAGAACAATGAGGAGTAAAAACAAATACCTCGCCATCTAAATAAATGCATCATTTAAAGAAAATGACAATGGAAGAATGGATGAAAGTGAAGGGATTCAAATGAACATGAAAATTCTTTAATGAAAATTACTTTCACTTAACATATACAAAGAATACTTGTCAGCTATATTTTTGATCTCTCACATACTATATGAGGTATTTGTTTCATTCAGAGCTATTACTTAGTTGTACCTTCGTAAGGCAGAGGGAGATGATTTTTAAAAATTGAAAGTGGGAAAGTATTCTTTATAACTATGAGTAAGAAACATAATTTGTAGAGCTAAGTATTTGGCATTTAAAGATAATTATTTAATAGTAAAGACTTATATATCTGCCAATTAATATTGGCAATACCAACTATCTTGTGATAGTTGAATAAACATTTTATTTTAAAAGTATATTTTGGTGAAGGAAAGTACCCTTTTCATAAAAAGTCTGTAAAACAAACATTGTTATAAAAAGTGTCTTTAATCTTACAAAAATCAACTGAGAAATTTCACAACAGTCATTTTTTTTTTTCAGCCCTGGACATGCAAGAATATATGCATATACATGCATATTTTGACAGTTATGTTTTTTCTATATGTGTGATTCTTTTCCTTTAAAATTAAAGAATGAATATTTCTCCTCTTATTTATGTTCAGACTCCTTAGTAAATAAGTATGTGAGAGTTATTGCTGAGTACTGAACTTTTGTTCACATTTAGTTTAGTTCATAAGATACTTAAGAGAAATATCATGTTACATCAACTTTTTATCACAAATAACACATTTTCTTACCTGCTATTTCTGTATATGGAGTAAACAATTTCTGTACTACTCCTTCTAAATCTTCTCTTGCTGTTTTAGAAGACATGCAAGTCAAATGCACCAAATCTGGAATACAAAACAAAACATCCTAACGTCCTGCTCATCATAACTGTTTTGGTCATATTCAAAGCACTAAGCTAGTATCATGGGCAGTAGTGACTAGGCAAATCATGGTTTCTCTGTTCAATGAATTTATATGTCATAAAAATTAAATGTGTACAAATGATAGTGAAAAGAAAAATCACACTTGCCCAATGGTAAATAGCAGCTGTAGTTAAATTTTCAAAACAAAGTAGTTAAGCTTAAGAAATATTTGTACATTCATAGACATGTACCGTTGCACACATGCACACACACAAACGAAGGTCAGGGAGCAAGCACCATAGAGCATTCGTTAGCCTGAAGAAGAATCCATTATACACACTTGTTTGCTAAGTTAACAACAAATCATCTAATCATTGCGGAGATTTCATAAAACCTTTTTGGAGAACACAGCTGGCTTAGTTTGAATCATAAAATAGTCCAAAGTCCATAAAATGGGAATCAAAAGACTCTACATAATATTTCCAGGAATTCTAAATTACTTATCTTTGCATGTACAAATTCACATTGCCTAGACATGGATAATGTTCAGGTTAGAGAATATAATATCATGTACAAAAAGACCTGTCTAAAAGAGAAATAGTGTAGTCTGATAGAACTTCTGAAGGTATATGCACAAGGAGAAAGAATTATGTAATAGAAAATAGACTGTGTTTAATGGGATAAAATAATGTCAAAAAGCAATCTAATAGAGAAGAGCAAGCACCAAGATGCTCTTCTCCTAATACACCACTAAAATGTATATACATTTCTTCTCTAAGATTATTTCAGAAGAATAGAATTTTTAAAAACTCTGGAAAGATATTTCAAATTTCATAATGAAAACCCAAATCAAAATAGTGTTTATATTAAAGTTCATTCCATAGACACAGGAAACATAGCATATATGCACACTAGTATTTGAACCATCCACAAAGAACCAAGTCATGTTACCTACAGGAAAATAGACGGAATATGTTCTGCCAAGCAAAATAAATGACACCTAAAATACAAGCATCGCTTCTTTTGTAAGTGGAATTTTGGCGGAAAGGACATGAAATCAAAAGTGGGAGTACTTAGGATATAAAAAGGAAAGGGAGAGAGGAACAGTAAAAAGAGTGCATGCATGTGTGTGTGTATGTGTGAATACAATCAGAACATATTACATGAATGCATAAAAATGTTGAAATATGTTTCTTTGTATAATTGATATAATAAAAATCCATTTCACATGTAAATTATGTAAAATATCTATGAATAAAATGAGGAACTTGTGTGTATTTGCACATGAGAGAATGTGTGATGTATATTTTTGCATGGAGAGGTGAGCTCCCTGTGAGAATGTGTTGAGGCCAGAAGCTGACATTGCAGAGACAGGGCCTTTCACTGAAGTAGTGGGCTCTAGGTTCTAGCTAAAATGGTTGCCAGTGAGCCCTCTGGATCCATCTGTCTCTAGCTCTTGGCATTGGGAGTGTGGGGCCATGCTCGGCCTTTCACATACATGTTGGGGATGCAAATTCAAGCTCTCATGTTTACATAAGCACTTTACCCACATAATCTTCTCCCAAGCCTCTGGAAACCTTTAAACATGAGCAGAAAACACATTTTGTAGCCCTTCTGGTCTATCAAAGAAAGCCATATTACACAATAGCTTATGAATTACAAGTTTCTCTGAGTCCACTTTTTTTGTATTAGAGACTCTTTTTTTTTTCATTTTTATATATTTATTATGTAAACACTGTTCTGCCTTCATGTCAGAAGAGGGCTCAAGATCTCATTATACATGGTTGTGAGTCACCATGTGATTGCCGGGAATTAAACTCAAGACCTCTGGAAGAGCAACCACTGCTTTTAACCTCCGAGCCATCTCTCCACCCCATATTAGAGACTTTTGACTGTTATTTTAACTTAGGATTATTTTTAAAATTGAACTATCAATTTTCATACCTCATCAGTCCATTGCAGGGCCAAGCTTTAGTTTTAGAACCCATTTTTCTTTATTTTCAAACAAAACTTCTACTTAGTGTTTCATAAACATTTGCTGCTACTGAAATTTCCTTGTCAGGAGCAGACTTTAATTATTGCTATTGTTGAAGAGACACATGTCTTTTCAATGTATGATATGAGAAAATTGATCTATCAGGACAAAAGCAAAGAAAGTACCAAGAGATCTCACCCTCTTCAAATCAAATCTACCCAATAAATACTTACAATACATTTATAAAATTTAAAAAGAAAAAAGAAAAATCCTAGAATTGTCTATACATGCATGTATTATTATTCTACCATTACTATATGCACACTATAAATATTATTTTACTTCACTCATACAAGAACATTATCATCTTCTAAATGAGAAATTACATGGATGGTGAAGTGAAGCAGAGTTCCCAAATTAGTAAAAGAAAAAAACTGGCATTCTGTGCTTGATAGGTAACAGGTTATGTGTCTATTGAACATCTGCTTTTTCTACTCTCCTGAGAAGATAAAGCGTGATTAAGGTCAGTAGCGCATAACACAAAAACAGTTTTCATAAGGTATGGTAAGTAACTACATGTAAGTCGTTACACAGACGTCCAATCCTTCCTTCTCGTACAACACCAAGTGATATATCTCAATCAATTTTACTGTTCTGATTAGCTTTCAATATCATCACATATCAATGGCATTAGGGCTAATTTTATATAAAAATTATATTAACTATTCAATCCAAAAGAACGTCTAATAGTTTAATATTTAAAACTTTACAATCCTGTGAAATTTTCAAAAATTCTGTTGCTTATGTTTTTATTATAATATATGTCTACTAATTAGATTCCAATGAATATACAGGGGATATTACAGTTTTGCTACTATGAATAAATACCTATAATGCTAGAAATAATAGTATTTGAAATGATTTGAACCTTTTTATAAAAAACTGTGTTTGTCGACATAGCTGTGTTCAAAGGATACATGATCAAAAATATGTATCCACCTTAAGAGTAGTTAAATTTAAAGCATAACCTGTAAAGCATATTGCCATATTTCTCCTAATCTCTACAAAAAAACACTTATTTATATTCCACAAGTTTAATTTTTCTTCATGGAATTATCTCACTTAATAGATGTGAACAAGTCCTACAGATTAAATTAGGCAGGGTAAATATTTTCCTAAAGGCATTATATTTAATTAGCACCTATTAAAAACTGTTACTAACATTATGGAATATGCAACATAAGTTGCAACATTCCCCATAGGCACTATGTGAAATTACTACTTACTAAAAAAAAAAAAAATGCAAATTCTAATTATAAAATTTACATACCACATTTCTTTTACTTTATTCAGTAACTTCTTGAAGGTTTATTAGACTAAAAAGATAACTCAATGTTTTCTCAACTATCATTCTTGTGATAGCAATAAATATAGACTTACTGATATTAAGAAATCTTATTTCAAAATAATTCTCAGAATGTAATAACTCTTGCAAAACATGTTTCTAATCACAACCAGTATCATTGAAAAATGAAAACAAAACAAAAACCTAACATCTATAAGTCAACTTTTTCAACACAAAACCAGAAGAAATGGAAAACTTGTTTAGAATACTGCTATCTCTCACACGATATTGTTTAGGAACATATGGGATTTCTATTTAGAAATACACAGAGTACCTACAGAAGTAACAATTCAAATATAAGATAGCTGTTACAAGATATTTGATCCTATTGTAAACCTAGAGATTGTGAACCTTAAAAACCTATTTATTGTTTGCTGTGGCTCAGCCCTAAGATACATCTTTAAGAACTTTCTGTTTATTGTAAAACAGTAATTATGGTGTGGTTAACTAAACCCTAGCATACAGTTTTAATCAAAAAGCTTTCTATTTAATAAAGTTAACCCTAGGTCAAGAGGCAGAGCAAGTAAACAAATGACAGCAAGGCAGGACTCTTAAGCTGAAGAAATTTAAGCAGTGTGGAAAAGAAAGAGCTTTCTCCTCCTGGACTGTCTGGTAAGCTAGCAGGCCTTTTTCTCCTGGGAAATCAGCTGAGCTAGATAGAAAGCTTTTGGCCTTGGGCTTTTGACTCTTTGGCTTTTTCCTTCTGGGACTTGAACTGAGTAGGAAGGTCAGCTGGGTGCTTTGTCTGCCTCTCAGAGCTTCCAAGTTTTCACCCTAACATCCGGTTTCTGAGTCTTTCTTGGTAGGAATCGAACTTAGGATTTTCTTTTCTTTTCTGTCTTTTTTTTTTTTTTTTAATAACAAGTAACTGGATTAGATAGTGTCATGATTATGTGGTCCTGCTTTTTGAAAATATTTTTTTTCTGCTTTCTATATCTGAAATGCAATGACAGTTTTTCTCCCAGGCCTCATTGTCCTCATCATAAAACAGGTGTGGTATTAGGTCATCTGAATGGCCATTGATAAAGTATTATGAAACCAACTCCTTACAAAAACCATACTTTTAAAAATAAAAATAGAACTTTTTAAAGTATTTTTTATTTTCTTATAATAGTTACAATTTATTAATTTTGGATCCCAGGTGTAGTCCCCTTCCTCATTCCCTCCCAAACCCACCCTCCCTCCCTCATCTCCTCCCTGTCCCTCTCTAAGTCCACTGATAGGGGAGATGCTCCTTCCTTTCCATCTGACCCTAACTTATCAGGTCTCTTCAGGACTGGCTGCAATGTCCTCTGTGGCCTGGCAAGGCTGTTCCTCCCTCGGGGGGAGGGGGGTGGGTGTCAAAAAGACAGCCATTGAGTTCATGTCAGAAACAGTCCCTGCTCTACTTACTAGGGTACCCACTTGGATACTGAGCTGCCATGGGCTACATCTGAGCAGGGGTTCTAGGTTATCTCCATGCATGGTCCTTGGTTGGAGAAACAGTCTCACAAAAGACCCCTGTGCCCAGATATATTTGGTCCTTGTGGAGCTCCTGTCCTCTCCAGGTCATACTAACTCTTCCTTCTTTCATATGATTCCCTGCACTGTGCCCAAGGTTTG